CAAATACAATTAGATTATTAATTGTTATTATTTATTATTAATAACAATTTAAAAGTCAGAAATAATTTAAAAATGTTATTGTAGACATTTTTGATATAGTCGAAATTTTGATGCAGTCGGCATTATGATTGTCGGGATTTTAATATAGTCGGGATTATGGTTGTCGGGATTTCGATACAGTCGGCATTTCAAACGTCGTGATTTCGAATGATACTACATTAGTTTTTTTTTTTTCAAAAGTATACATTAATTTAAACTTTTTTTTTAAACGTAGACAACTTTATTTGCATTAGTCAACTGTGTATTATTATGCAACCGTTTATGCATAAGTCATCTAGTTTATATTTTGTGTTGACATTAGTTGATATCAGTGTAACAAAAGCTGCAAAAATTAGCAATACTTATTAATAAAGTCTTCTTGTGTTATAAACGTAACACTTGTAACATTAGAATCAATAGATCAAAGTATGTCAAAGAAACGAGATATTTCTGTAAGTACTCTGCATATACCTAACCTAACTTTGTAATTACTTCTTTTCAAATAAAATTACTATTGCTTTTTTAGATATTAACCTGTAACATAAATGCATTTTTATTAGTTGTAAACCTAGAACTTTGTGCCCTATTTGTTTCTAACATTACTTTATTATAATTCATATAATATGGGCAATAGGAAATCTATATAGGAATATACATGAAATATATTGTTTTTATTACTATTCGAATGTTTTATATATGCAGATATATAATACAGTTTTGATAAGACATTAAAAGAAGTTTGATTTCACATAATAATATTCAAACATTCCCAAATATTGTACTAAAAATAAAACTTGATTACAGCGTGAAGAAATTGCAAAGCAATTTTTGCTGCCAGAACGTCAGTCGAAAATCGACACACTTTTAAAACAGGATGGACAAGCATACTGCATTTGTCGTTCCTCCGACTCCTCCCGATTCATGATCGCTTGCGATGCTTGCGAAGAATGGTACCATGGAGATTGCATCAACATATCCGAGAAGGAAGCAAAATTGATTCGACAGTACTTCTGCATTCGCTGCACTGAAGAAGATTCAACATTGAAAACACGTTGGAAGACGAAACGAGATGATCTGCCGGTTCGGCAGAACCCACCGACTGAAGCCGATTTCAAGCAGAAGAAACGAAAGGAAAGAAATGAGAACATCAAGGATAAGAAACCGAAGAAATGCGGGGACTGCATGGGGTGTTTTAGAACGGAAGATTGTGGTCGCTGCGACGTTTGCAGCAATAAGAAAAATAGCAAGCACGGTTCTAAGCACAAGGAGAGATGTAAGCAACGGATTTGCGTGAATTACGGTGGGGTGCACTCCAGGGGTAGAAGAAAGAGAAGAGATTCAAGTTCTGAGCGAGAATGCTCCACTGCTCATTTACAGACGGACTATGCTAGGCAGTGCCATGGCCCTAGTTGCACAAATAGTGCTAGGTTTGGGTCTAAATATTGCTCTGATGCTTGCGGTAATCGCCTTGCGACTAATAGGATCTATCAGGTTTTACCGCAACGTATACAAGAATGGGCATTGAGTCCTTGTATGGCTGAAGACAAGAATATAAAAGGTAAAAATACTGTATTTGTTTAAAATACGTAAATTTATTTATATTTTTAGTTTTGGATTCTATTAGAAAACAACAGATCGAGGTAAAGCAAATATTGCTCGAATTAGATAAACGCCACAGTGAATTGGACGCGATCGTCGAGAGAGCTAAAAACGCCTCAGTCGATCCGGACGCTGAATTCGACTACGATGAAGAAGGCGAGATGTCCACGTATTGCATAACTTGTGGGCATGAGATCCACTCAAAAACTGCCGTTAAGCATATGGAGAAATGTTTCAACAAGTATGAATCACAGGCTAGCTTTGGGTCAATTTTCAAAACTCGTATTGAAGGTAATTTAATCATGTCAAACTAATCGTTATTATTTTAAACTTGGGCTATTATTGTAGGGAATGTAATGTTTTGCGACTTCTTCAATCCCATCAACAGGACGTACTGCAAACGTCTACGGGTACTCTGCCCTGAGCATTGCAAAGACCCAAAAATTGGAGATCACGAGGTATGTGGATGTCCGTTGGTCACAAACGTGTTCGATCAAACAGGGGAGTTCTGCAGAGCACCAAAAAAGAATTGCGTGAAGCATCATGTCTGGGAGAAATTACGACGTGCAGAGGTTTTTAATACGTGATTTTCTCTTAATGAATAGTTTATTAACAAGCGGTCTGTTTCAGATTGATTTGGAGAGAGTTAGGCAATGGCTGAAGATGGACGAGTTATTAGAAAAGGAAAGGCAAATCCGCCAGGCTATGGCATCCAGAGCTGGAGTCTTGGCTCTTATGCTTCACTCGACTTACAACCACGAAGTCATGGAGGAAATAACGAAGGCGAGTCAACAGGATCAACATGCAATGCAAAAGGAATTGGCGAAGAGATTCAGGAAGGGATCAATAAAACCAACCGTTCCCTGATTGAATCCGTTTACTGATTTTGATCTAGAAAAGCGTTACAGCATCGCATGCATTGTTGATAACATTGCTCAAATCCCTTCGAATCGTCATCCTGTAATCAAACAAATTATTTAAGACGTTCAATAAATACACTCATTTCTTACGTAGTATGGGTCCCGTATGATGCGTTCACCTTGTGGATCAGAATCACCCAACAATAAAATTTTAGCTTTACTGTTTTTAACATCCTTCGCTTCACTATTCAAAGCAGAGATGTTGTTCAGGTCCATGCCGAAAATGTAATCGTATTCAACAAAGTCGTTTGGATGAATCTAAATAAGAATAATACAAACATTCAATATTTTACTGTTATAATGTTTACCTGTCTAGCGGTATTATCGTAGTCAACGGAATGCTTTGCCAATGTCTGACGAGCCCTTCGATCAGGCAAAGAACCAACGTGCCATCCTCCAAGAGCTGCACTATCTACCTCCCATTGTTCGCTAACACCTCGCTGTTTTATCAAATGTAGAAACACAGCTTCGGCAATTGGCGACCTACAAATATTCCCTGAAATGGATATTTAAAACAATAATCTAGCATTACTAATCATTAAAATTAATATAACATTTAAGCAAAGTGTAATAAAACATTTTCACTTGATTTATCCAAAATAAATTCCCAATTTGAACAAAAAATATTACTGTGGGTATAGAAATATATGCAAAAATTGAAGAAATCTATTGATATTGATAAAAATGCTTTCGTATTTACCTAAGCAAACAAATAAAACTTTCTTCACATCACCCATATTTCCGTATTTATTATTAAATGCTGATTGAAGGTTAGAAACAGTAATGAGGAACACAGTGTATAATATGAAGGTCAATAGTTTATGTAACCCAACCTACACTAATTGATAATGAAATCTATATAAGTATTTTATATTTGAAATTAAAAAATACGAGTTTAAATATCAAAATATAATTAAACGAAGTATCGAGTAGACCAAATTGGGTAGCCTAGAAATGTCTAAGCTCAAAAATGTAAACATCATGAATAAAATTGGCTTATTTATATAATATAGAAAAAAAAACTATTTTGTTTGAATACTTTAAGGCAGTGGTTTCCAAACTTGAAGTTACTACGCCTCCCTCAAAAGTATGTAATCATTTGGCGCCTCCCCTTTCATAAAAGGAACGCGCATTACAGCAATATGGATAAGAGCACAGTAATATATCGAT